ACGGTATTGGTATTTACAGAAAGATGACGGAATGTAAAGGAGACAGGATGGGTGCCTTGAAAAAATAATATTGTGATGTATGAAAATAGAATAAACGTGCAGTTACATCACAATAGTGTGTCTTCAACAGACCCATCTTCAACTAATTGCTATGCGTCATGTCTCCAAATGACTAGACCTGCACCGTATTGATGATTGCTAAAAAGCATGAAACAACATTGTATATTATGGTCTATGGTCGCAAAGTTCTACAGCCAGCAAATCACATATTCAGAGCTGTGCCAATTTTATGTAACTTTTGCAGAGAGCGTCAGTGCTGGTACTACACATAGGTGGCGTGTTACCTTTATTTTATTTTTGAACCTTTCACTTCACAAAGCCCTGCAAGACTGAGGATATTAGCAGGGCATATTTGGTTAAAGACGGTCGGATGGGCCCAAAATCTTCCCCACGTACTGATAGGAGGACGAAACATTGGTTTTATTCCAACAGTCATATATGTATAGCAGCACAGATCAGTTCATCGCGTCGCTAGCAGCATCATACCATCAACTTTCATTAATGCCTGTAATCGCCGGTCCCTAATAGTTTTCCAAAAGAGAATTTCCTCAATTTGACACACTTTAGCCACTTTTATCTAGCTTTAAAGTTATTCAAATTTGTCTAAAATTTAATAATTCAAATGGTCAGTGTGTTTTAAAAATTGACTTCATTGTACGGTACAATTTTGAGAATGTTTCACGAAAGAGAGTATTTACATGCATCAAAAGAGAACGATGATTAGGGAAATCATCGGTTTATTGAATTAAAACATTTTGTGGGTGCCGCTTTCTAATACATATAAGGTAATGTTAAACTGACTTCGTGTCTCTTCTTCTTCTCTTTTCTGAGAACATAATTTATAATGTTAAAAGTTTCGTATTGTCTTTATTCCTACTCATCAAGTATTCATCCGATTTTAATGCAACACATTAAAACTGAGATCACAACTTACAAAAAAAAAATCCGGGGTACAAAAGTTTCTTATTATACCACCTTATTTTTATAACGCAAGTCTCATTTTTTATTAACAAGAGAATCGGCTGCGGCTTTGGCCGAATCAGGGGAGGACATAGAGAATATTTTTCGTGGGAGTCGACATGATGGACTTGAAATTACCAGCTCAAAAAAGTGCTGGGGTAGGAGGGGCGCTCTCTATTGAAGACCCTTATTCCCATTTGCTTGGTGCTTTTCTCCGCAGTGGGCAGCCTATGAGTCGGAATCATTAAAACTGACGAATTTCTGGTATTATAAACGTTATGGTCGTTTAACACCTCAAAGTCGTCACTCCTAGCATGGTTTATGGAAAAGACTCATTGGATTTCCGCTAGATAATTATTTTAGATGCGACTAAAATTAAACTATGGCCGTTGTACCTTTGATTCATCGGGCACTCGCGGACTACTCCCTCTCAGTTTGCTGCGGGTCTTGACTATAATAGATGTTCCTGATAAGAGACATATACCGTATTTTACTTGTTATTGTTTGATTTTGCTTATCAGTAACAAGTTTAGCGGCTAGCAGTGTAACAGATTTATCTACAGGGTCCGTCAAAAAGAACGCATGTTTTTTAAATGAGTAGTACTGTCAAAATAAATATGGTAAAAAATATTTTATTATATCAAAATACTCAAAAATACATGCCATTTTTTTGAGTAGAACAAAATTTACGGCAGTCTTTTCTTCATCACATTACCTATTGTGTTGAGTGCTTCCACCCATCTTAAAATGGTGTTACGGTCTGGTACTGTCCCACGAGGCGAAACACGAAAGTGAACACGAAAGTACCGACGTACAGTGAACCCACGATGCTCAACGTTCCAAACCATGTTGCCGACTGAAGCGGCACTTCTCCCACTATCCAACACGCCCTTTCCCACCGACACGGGACCAGCCCACTCGATGTAGTACCCGTTCGAAGAACATGCGTTCTTTCTGACGGACTCTGTATTACGGGCTCTTACGCCCTTTGCAACACAACTTGATTTCATGATGATTAACTTTATTGTTTCAAAAAATGTCAGTTGATAGGTACTGCAAGGTACATCGGTCATTCGTCTGCCTAGCGCAGCATTTCCGGTGAATCATATTACTTGCAATACCTAATAAGTTTCTAATAACCCCGATATTCAAAAAAAAATTTTTTTCTAAAGAAATGGAAATTTTTCTACCTCGCTGACACTGCGTTATGGCACGACGAGTAAAATAATATATTTATATACAAGTTTATAAGCATTGTATGCATATAAAATTAGGTTCTTAATTTTCAAAATTATACAGACATCATTCATTTTTCGTAAGTATATCCTCAACTTTCAAAAAACATCTTTAGAGTGCTTCTTTGGAATGTACTGCACAAAAATGATAAAGTTACAAATACTTAACATACTGGTACTTACAGTAATGGATATACATATCGTTTATGGATTCGTTTGCATTATTTTTACACCATAAATCTTATTCACTGTTCAAGTGTTTATTCACACGCATTCACTACCACTGTTCATTGTTCCATTATTTGTCTACTAGATATTATTGCTAAAATAAAAACCTAAAAAAGAATTCACTGCTCCTGATCCCCGGCACCGTCAAAATTTAATCTTCCCCATCCAGTAACCATCATGTACATTTCTAAGTCTTTCTCCATGGGCTTCTCTTTTTAACAGCATACTGGACAAAAAGTATATCCATATTGAAAGTAGTAATTTCTAAGGACATACCTAGAACTTTCTTCGAGGATCTCTCTTGATATCATCTCCAGGGTGAGCTATTGATATTATTATTCTTCCTTTTTTTCCTTGCTCCAGATTTTTCCATTATACTAGCAGCCCTTCAAACAGTTTCTACTAAAGGCCACTAGCAGGGTCGCCATGTAATAGATTTATCTATTACGGACTTTTGCGACCATAGTAAAACAACTTGATTTCAGGACGATTAACTTTATTCTGTATAAAAATGTATATGGATAGGTACTGCAAGGCACTTCGGCCATTCCTCTGCCTAGCGCAGCATTTCCGGTGAATTATATTACTCTTTATACCTAAAACATGTTTCTATTAACAATATATTATACAGTATGATCTTACCATACTACTGCAGTCGCTCTTTGGAACAATTAACTTATTTGATCATTTGCAATTTCTTGAATAATTTTCCGATTTTGGGTGATTACTAAATTGAAAAACTAACGGCAAGAACGTCCTTCTTTCCCAGCGAGGAATGTCTTCCATATTTATTTTTCGGATGGCAGATAGAAGAGATTCATGGGCAGAAGCGGATTTCCTGAAATTTACAGCCTCAAAGCCGATTACGGGTTTGTTAGCACCTTTCCAGTTTCTTTCTGTTCCCTCAGATTCCGTTTAATGCGTGAACTCTGGAACTTCTGTTTAGCAAAATGTCACTATCCATCATCACGGCATTTAGCAGACAAATACGCACGGTAAACAGATTTTTTGGCTGTTAGATGTCGCTACGACCGGATTTTTTCGTCGTATCGAAATTTTAGAGCACTTTCTCTCACTTTATCCATCAGTGGCTAATTTCAAGTTTATGTAAAGGGTGGTCACTATACAGTGCCTTTCATGAAGCTCAGTTACTTATTTTTTGAATGGGTCAAGCTCGCAAGCGGAAATTCGGATGGAATCGTTGCATTTTAACATGAAAAAGTGGCGGCTGGACGCCATATTGTAATATTTTCTTAAATATAATTATGATGCTTTTTACCAAAGCTCCTTATCAGTACTGCACAGCCTTAGAATCTAAAATACCTATCATTTAAGATGGCGTACTGACGGATTGTCACATTTGAGCGTCTTTAATAATAATAAACCGTCTTTTATTAGAAAAAATAAATGACAGATAATGCATATATTATTATCTATAATTAGATTAGTGAGCAGGCAATGGCGAAGTTTAGCTATGGCAGCTATTCTTACACTTAACCATTAACTGCATAAGAATAATAGATGGTAAAAAAGTACAGCTGTAAAGAAAATAAAAGGAAGAGAATGCCCATATCACTGATTACAACCTGAATAAAAATTAGCTTAAAAATATAATGCTGGAGAAAAACACCTTTAAGAATTACCATTGAGCAGAAGAGCTCTTAAGTGTTTTTTTAAAACTATACAGCGGCAGGCTTTTTGTTCTGTAATCTAAGCTATTGTACAACATGCATGCATTATATGAGAAGGACCTGTTAAAAGCAGATGAACTATGAAGTGGCATTGTTAAAGCGAATGTGTTACGGATATGTCGTTGATGAACATTATACCTAAAAATGAGTTTTTTCACGTAAATAAATTGTAGTTCCAGAGACAAGTAACTTATGTATAAAGGTTAGATAGTTGTATTTAACTAAATCTGTCATCTTTAACCAACCTATTAAAGGATAACGATCCGAAACATGATCAAATTATCTCAAACTAAATATGAATCGTACGCAGTTATTTTGTACTACAGATATTCCGTTACGACTTGCAACATCCAAACAAGGATGATAAACTAGATTGCAATAATTAAAAAGAGATAACACAAAAGATTCACACAACTTTTTTCGCACTTTAAAATTCAAATTTTTGATCGCATACAGAGTTCTCAGACGGATGTAACGTCTTTGTAAGAGGTTATTTAAATGTTCACGAAGCCGCACGTTTTCATCAATAAACACACCTAGACACTTGACACTTTCAGAAAAAGGAAGATTTTGATTGTTAATAGATACTCTCAAGGAAGCTTTGACTTCGGCTCTTCTGTGATTTGGACAAAACAGCACAGCAGAAGATTTAGAAGCATTAACGGTTAGGCTGTTATTGGCTGAGTAGGTGCAAATAGAGTCAATGTGCATATTGTAACTCAATAACTAACCTTCAAAACTTTATAGAACGTATGTCAATCGTTTTCTTTTGGTAAGGTCTATCTGAATGTCAGTTCGGAAACTGTTGACATATTTTGTCAATTGTTTCAGATGGAGTATTTCATAGTTTATTTCATGTCCATATAGACCGTCCACTTAATATTTTGTCTCACCTGATAAATGTGGCCGAGCCGGTCTGCTCGCGCTTGTCTTGATGGTGTTGATAAAAACATTGGATGCCTGACCAGTTTTTGTTTGGTTTTTGCAGCGGTCGATCATGTACGTTCTGTCGAATTGTTTGTGTGCAAATGCAAGTAGTATTTTGAGCGATAGTTCGTTTGACTTCGACTTCATGGAATCTTAGATGGTTGATTTATGTCAAAAGCTAACATCAGAAGTGGGATATACCGTGCGTGCCAGTGACTGTGACATGTTTCTTGTTTTGGATTGGTTTTGCCCCCAACTTGTTGATGTTTGGTAAGAGAGACCTGATACTCAAGTATCTGGATGTTGATTTTGGAACACCTTAAATGGTTGATATGTTTATTTCGAACCTTAAGTGGTTGACGTGTTAATTTTGGAACCTTAAATGGTTGTTATGTTCATTTTGGAACCTTAAACGGTTGCCATGTTTATTTTCGAACCTTAAATGGTTGACTTATGTCCTTTTGAATAGATAATAAAAAATTTGATCAATAAAAAAAATTAAAAAAGGAACCTTAGATGATACATAAATTTGTATTTTTCGCACCTAGTTAGCTGTGATACTCCGAATCAAAGGGCGAAATGGTGTTTAACACTACGTTAAGAATGTTTTGAAGAAAGAACCATAGATGGTTGAGGTAAATTTGTATTTTTCGCACCTAGTTAGATGTATTATTCCGAATCAAAGGGCGAAATCGTGTTTAACTCTACGTTAAGAATGTTTTGAATATGATGTTTTACCGTAACAATCCAAGATCTAAGTAGTATGATTGGAACCTTAAATGGTTGACATGTTAATTTTGGAACCTTAAATGGTTGATACGTTTATTTGTTGTACTTGTAATTAAAATATTTTTTTGCATACCAGGGTGTACGAGAGCAGGATGGCCGTGTGTCATTGGATGCCTGAATAGTTTTTGTTTAGTTTTTGCAGCGGTCGATCATGTACGTTCTGTTAACGAGATCAGATCTGAATTGTTTGTGTGCAATGCAAGTAGTATTGTGAGCAATAATTCGTTTGACTTCTTCTTCTTGGAACCTTAGATGGTTGATTTACGTCAAAAGCTAACACACATATATATAACCTATATACTTTTGATCTTGATTATTGAATTATAGGCGACTCAATCTACAACTACGCTCAACTTTGAAAGTCTGCCAGTTCCTCGTTTTTGAAGATGGTAGTTTTAAGTTTTAGGATTTTAAAGTAATCATAAGAAGCTCCAAAATGAGGTAACACACGATTCTGCATTCCATTGAAAAAAATACCAAAATAGCGCCCAACTGTATATTTGATAATTCAGTGGTCGGATTTTAGGAGCTGTAATGTTTCGAATCGTATGGCTACCACTCTCGCTAGGTGTCGCTAAGGGAATTACCTGCAACATCTCTGCTACTATGGTGAAATGCAAAACTTGGTGTCTCAAAAAATTCTACAACTTAACTTTCAAGAAATGTGGTTCCAATAGAACAGGGCAACGTATCATATAGTCATACGAAGAGGGGGGGGGGGGTTACCGGGTGAAAATCTTCTCTTCAAAAGATCACTAGAAAAAGAAAAATACGCAAAAAATTCTTGTCAAAGTACATTCTTGACCAGCGATGCACAAATCTTGTCGACTTAGCCCACCTCAACCCCGCTCTTCAACTACGAACTTTGTACTTCAGGCCCCAGAGTTCCCCAAACAAAAGTCTCCTCTGAAACTGCCTCTGCATACAGCTTCAGAAATAATGAATGTTTTACAAAGATTCTGCTTAGGGTGTTCAATCTTTCTGTTAGGCGCAGTCATCTGGTCTATAAGACCGCCAGATTTAACGTTTCCGGACTTCCTCACAGAAACCTAACAAAAAGTGATTCAAATCTGCCATTCACGTAAGATCGTTGACAAAGCTCCAAATATTTAATAACAGACTTAGACAAAAAATTGGATCTGTTTGATTTCATTATGAAGATATTGCAGAAAGAAGGCCGTCAGTCATACGGGGCTTAAGAAAAGTACCGTAAATGCTCTGTATTCTTCCTGGTGTGGTATCTTGGAAAAAGGTCAGGTTCATACTAATTTTAAGCAAGACGTTCAACTGTGAGCTGGGATTTGAGCTTGTCGCTCACTTTCAAGCCGAACTTCTGTTTCTTAAATAGAAAACCTACTAGAATTTTAATTTTTTCCGATTGCTGGTATCCAGAAGGGGGCCAAAAACGTCCATTCGAAAAGCAAGAGTCGGAATTGAAATAACCTTGAAAGTGAGGTTCGATGTCAATTTATAGTCACTATGGAGCAGCGCGTTCAGAGTAATGACCTGACCTTGAACTTTTTCAAAAATACCTTTTCTAGAAGAATAAACAGCCGTTCGGTTGCTTTTATTACACCTGGTATGTCAGCCATATTTTCCTTATTTCTTTCTGTTGTTGTTAATAAGCAAATGGAACCATTTAACAGGTTTTGGTATTTGGATTAAATAGAAACTTACAGAGATATCAGATGACTCTTTGCATATCTTTCACAGGAGATATTACATTTTATCTTGGATCGGCAGGGGTATTACGTAACTTGAAAAACGACATTATGTCGTTTTTTGACATTGTATAGGTTTTCCAACAAAACGTCAACTTGAAACTAGCTGTCATTCGCTAACTTGTAGCAAGTGCGGAATGAACTATTTGCACACTAGATATTCAATCAATAAGTTGACATTTTTATCCTTTTTTTGACGTTATATAGGTTTTTACGTAATAATCCTGCCTTTCTTATTGATTTGAGTAACATTTTGATCAGTGGTTTTGATGTTAGGATACTCCAAGAACTTGCTATTCACTATTCGCCCAATACTTGCATTTTTTTATAGAATATTTATTTTAAGTGTAAAAATCAACAGCCTCTGAGATTCTTTCCTTCGGCATACATTGACAAATATTTCAAACTAGTAGACATTCCAATTCTCTTAACATAACTCTTATTGTATTGTGGAGTGAGTACTGAGTATTGCCTTAATTTAGCCTCTTCTAGCAGATTTATTTTGATATAATTTTCTGTTTCAGGGATACTTTGGCCTTCCGGCGAACTCACAACAATAAGTTCTAAAGGTGAGCAGCTTCTATAGTTTTTTTCACGGGTTTCGGCGGTTACGTCCCAATGCTATATGAAAGAAGAAAACAACGATTAATGAGGTCACATAAAAACTGGACAACGACTATTCTACACGAAATGTTGTAACCGAAGCCACAAATATGCCTGCTGGCTTCTATTGGTGGCTTCTAGTTGTATTTCCCTTTCCCTTTCAGGTTACAGGTCCAGATGTGATGGCCATTTGTTTTCACTTTGGTGTCTTGGATGCACATAGAATCGGGCTTGATACAGTCAATAAGCAAAAACGTACTTCGCTCGGAATACGAATGCTTCTATTTCTCCGATTTCATTATTGCGGTCATGTCCACGATTGTCCTTATTTTTTCATCTAAAACTACCTGTCTTAGTTAATTTATTGCTTCCTCTTATTGTCAATATGTTGGACCGAGTTAAAACTTTTTGCTCCTTATTTTCTGGCCCGAAGCATTCATATGTGATATACGTATTTCTAAGAATAATAAATTGTATGGATTATCAAACAATAGACGTCCTACTCGTTTATCTGAAAAACAATTATTTGTATTCTCTTTCAAAGGATTTTTATCTAACTGCTTACCTGAGTCGCTCCTTTCTCTCAACGAATAAATACGATTTATTTCTGCGATCATACGTGATAGAGGAAAATATATATTGCCGGAATATCTGTGGGCTTATTTGATACATTTTCATGTTTTATTTGATAAAGACGTTATATTGCTAATAAGTAAATGCCTGGGTAAAGTGTTCTGCACGACCTTACGTCGTATCGATATCGTTTTCCTATATCTTGCCGCCACTTTTTTTACTACAATAGATATGTTTTCAAATGATTAATTTTGATCAGACTCAGATTCTTACATGCTAGTATCATATGTGCCGTATTTTGCAATCTGTCGTGAACTAGATTTGCAGACCTCGACTGGGCTATGTGCACATGTGAACGTAGGCAGTGATTGTCAACGAAGCGAAAATACCGTTTAGCGATTGCAATGATCTACCTCTGTAATCTACTTCTCATTGCAAACAGATGATTACAATGCCTTCTTATCAGTACTGTGGCAGTAGAGAAATGCAATGCAATCACGAAGAGTAGAGATAGCAGATTAAACTATGTAACGGATACACGTATACGTATGACGCCAATCTTGTCACCCAAAAAAGTGAGAATCTCAGAAACCTAGTGGGCGTAGAACATGGCGTAAACGGTCTGCTCATTGAAAAATGTCAACATAACCTGCCACAATCTTTATATAATGCATTTAGCTCACGTTTTGGTATGCTTTGCAGGTTAATTACTCCGTGGTTTATTAATAGTATTCAATATTCATGCTTGCAACTCGTTCGAATTTGCAAATTGGAGTTGTTTACAGTCATGATGACAGCAACAGAAACTGAAATTCATTTTCTGCAAAGTGTACATAAACATGCGCAACACCTCAAATCATTTAATGCACAGTGTACCAACTCGTTTCATCGTCGATATTTTTTTAACCTCCTATCTATAGTCCTCATGATGTTGATCAATGTATTGAACTGTCAGCTATTTTTTCACTACTGTGCAGCATAAAAGCGCTGCATCACTCGACCGCTTTAGGTTGGCTGAACGTTCGCATTATTATTTACCTATCTGTTCTTGCTGTCATTTTTCGCTTCGCAAGAAAAATGCTACATATCAATAAGGCAATCGGTCAAAGTGGTATACATCTTAATTTTTTACTACAGATTTCAAAAGCAGGCATTCAAATGTCCAAAAGTAACCCTTGGAGGAAGGTCAAGTCGATAATACTACAGCTTAACTCCATTTAAACTAGCTATTCCAGCTATTCTGAAAGCATCGTTGACCAAGTGCCTCTTTGAAAATAAGCAACAAATTGAAATTGTGCACCTCGTACGTTTAGTTTCCTTCTCGTTGCAAGCAGGTGGTCACTACTCCTTTTTGTCCTCGTTTGCCGCAGTAGAGAAATGAAAGAAATGCAATTAATGTGTTCGTAACAAGACTGGCCGGTGGCGGTATGTTAGGCAATCGGACATATCCAGCGAGTGGAAAATTGGCAGGCCGCCGCTCAAAGGGTATTGTGGTTGGTACACGCATGGCGTACGGGAAGCCATTGTGGAAACACCCATTGCGGAACTCGCCGTGTTCTTCTCATTGTAATACCACGGATTTTGGGTACCAATTAATTAGGTTGGTGCTGGAATAGGAAAACCTACCACTATCATTTCTATCGCCATGTAGATTATATTAGATGACTTCCACTAACATACTGAACATTGCCAGACCTACCAGAAGTGTAGTAGTGGCGGGGAGCCTAAGCCTGCCAACTAAGCAGTCACCTTAGGCACTTATAATGAAGGTAAGGATGTCCGATTACTCCGCTAAGTATGCAACTTCGTTACCAAATTCCATGCGACAAGTAACTGTTTTCCCTAGAGAGGCATGTAGTCACCCGTTCCAGGAGGCTGAGCGATTCTCTAAGTTTTAACCAGCACGACCGACATTTGTCGTGCCCGATATGAACCTGTTGGCCTATCTGAAGTCCTCTCTTTCTTTCTCTCAACGCTTTTTCCCAGGTCCATATGCACCCACTTACTCAGTACGGCACTGACTTGGCGCTTGCTTATATTAAGCCTAGGCTCGAGACCAACACAGCATAGACGACCCGAGATCATCCGTAGGAGACTACAGGGTGAACTGGACCAAATTCAGGACTGGTGCGTGAAATGGAAAATCCGCATCAACGTCCAGAAGACGCAGGCAATCTTCATTCAACGAAGAAGGATTGCAAGACCTCTCGAAGCATCCATCTTCGATGAAGATATCCAGTGGAGCGACAATGTCAAATATCTGGGGATCGTTTTTGACAAGTCCCTCACCTGGAAAGCGCACATAGAAGCTGTCATCGCAAAAAACCAGAGCAGCCATGGCTCAACTCTATCCATTACTGGGTAGACACAGCCAGATGCCGCTAGCGAC